TCCTGCTGTCAACAGCAGATAAATTGATTTGCTTAGAAAGAGCCCTGCCGTATGATGTCCTCCTAGATAAAACAAACACTGACTATTCCACCCCAGCTGTGGTTTTTGAAGTCTTTGAGTGACACTGGGAGGAAAAGGATTACTGACCTGTCAACAGAATTTGAAAATCCATTAAAATAACAGCGCCGAGCTCTTTGTTCCCTGCGATCGCCTCGTCCAGAACCTCCCTCACATGCATCTGCCTGGCCTGGGAGAGGTGATGAGAATTTCTTCTTCATAAGAGGCTCTGAAGGTGCTGAACTCTGCAACAGAGCAAATGCACTGAGTGTCTCAGTAGGCAATAATAAAAAGAGTTGGTTAAAATAATTTAGCTGCCTGATCTGAATGTCTGAGGCCACATTCTCCAGCAGACATTAGTTGGGGACAGTTTAGGAAGACCCTTCATATAGATAAGCTGAAGGTTTATCTATATGTCTGAAAAACGAAAGGGGGGAGGGAAGTGGAATGTTCTTTTGTGCAGAAGGAAGAGCAGCACGTTCCTGTATTAGTAGCTGAGGAATAAAAAAAGAACTGCTGATGGCCTACTTAAAACAGTTTTTGTTCAGCTGGCTGAAGAATAAAGAGCCTGAGGAAGTGAAGGACAAACTGACCTTAGGTTAGTCTGGTTGAAAAAATATTTCTTGGAAATGTGTGCGTTATGGTTGCATTAAGACCAGAGTCAGAATTGAAGCAGGGAAGAAAGTGTTGACAGTGATGGGCAACCGCAGTTGTCAAAAATGTTTTGGGAGTTACATGAAACATGTGTGAGGCACCAGATAAGGCTGGGTGCAGATGTTCCAGATGTTCCACCTCTGCCTGCACTGAGCAGAGCAGGATGTTCTCAGGTTGTGCGTGGTTGTTGTGCTGGAGAAATGCAGAATGTTATGAAAGTGGATTAATAATCTCCCAACAGGCTGAGGTGCTGTTGGTGCAGGCTCCAGAATGCTGGTGGGCAGCACGTCGTCCCTCCCACCCACTCCCTTCCTTCTGAAAATGTCACTTAGCCCAAAACTCAGAAGTTGTGTGTTTATGATGACAGAAATGAAAGGTGAACAGTTGCTTTCCCTCCTCTGGATTACACAAGGTTGTACTTATCTGCCTGTTTTTCATGCAGTAAGTTCTTGGGGGCAAGGGTTGCTTTTAGCTCTTGTTGTCAGAGATGAACAAATTATTAATTTTAGAAATAAGTAACTGAAGACTGCCTGGCAGGAGCTCCACTCATGTTGCTCCAGCTTCCTTACCATGCTGGAAAAGAGCATTATTTTCTTGTGTCCTTAGGGAGCAGTTTGAAGTGACCCGTGATTTCTAGTTCAGTGTTCATCAGCAAACTCATGGAGAGGAAAACACTTAGAAATGAGGCACGATAGAAACCCAGTACCAGGTGTCATTTGTGTCCTCAGAAACTGTGCCAGGAAAACTGTATCCAAATGGTTTAGGCATTAGCTGAAGTTATCCTCACTGGTGGGTCCACCAAAAAAACCAGGGTACCCTAACCCAAGGGAGTACAGCTGTAAGCCTAGCACTGCCAAGGCCACCACTAAACCATGTCCCTGAGCACCAGGTCTGTGCATTTTTTTAATACCTCCAGGAATGGTGACTCAACCTTGCTTGTCCAGAGCTGATCCTTCAGAGGAATGAAATGAGAGGCTTTCCCACCAACCACTGCCTGTGTTGATGAACACTGACCCACAAACATGTGTCCTGGGTGACCTTTGCCTTTCAGCAAGGGACACCAGCACAATTTGGAGGTACGATGGCCCAGGGTGAAATCAATTCACCTCAAAGGAAGAAGCCTGAACTGTGTCCCCTCTAGTCAGGGTCACCTTCCCCATTCTCCCTGAAGGTTTTATTCTTTGCTCACAGAGGATTTTTAATGGATTGGCTTTCCAGTTTTAATTAACCCATTGAACAGCTGTTTTCATTGGGTTCCTGGATGCTGTGGGGTTGCTTGTGGAGGCAGCACTTAGACAAATGGACCTGAAAGGCAACTTGGCTGCACTAATGGGTCATCCCTGCTGCAGAGCAGCTGGTGGAGGAGCTGGATGCCCATGGCATTAGAGCACTCAGCTGATGCTGAGCTCTGCTGGTGGCTTCAGAGCTTCTTCTT